TAGTGAATAAAATCTTAAATCATGTAGATTAAAAATGACTTGCTGCTTCCACTTATCGTGTTTTCATAAAAGCAGTTTTCAAAATATGTTTTCTTAAAATAACTTCAAAATAGTTCGTGGTTGAATGGAAATGAGTGTTGGGAAAATTCTCTTGTTGCAGACGTATTCATTAGTGTGGTGATAGCATTGCCAAAAGGAAGGAAAACATGCCAGGGCAAACACGCTCAGTCCTGAGAATGTTCCCTCTCTGAATTCCTAGCCTGTTCTTTCTCCGTCTCCTCCCGTCCTTGTCCAGAAGTGCCATTGTTGCCATCGTTATCCAGAATGTAAGTGGCTTTGCCAGAAACGCTCCCCACAGCTTATTCAAGAGCAAATGTAAAGGAGATACACTCCTTTCTGTTTATGTGTTTTGGGTATTTTTCTAACAGTTGAAAAAGCCAGGTATAGGAAGAGATCATTGTAGTTTGGAGATGGTTTTTTGGGTAGAATTGGTGTGGCTGAATTTGTTCCTCAAAGGCAAGGTTATAAACTCTGTCTCTGCCAACTCTGGAATAGTCTGTGGATTTTGTGTCTCGTCGTGCTATTTTAGCATGTTGTTAGCTTTGTACTATATGCTCCAGAATATTTCTGTGCATAAAATAGGCATAAAAATATGCCTTGCAGAATTAATTTCCTTTATGGACTTAACTATTGGACATTTCCCCTAAAGTCCTCTGTTGTCAGAGCTCTGGCCATTGTTATCAAATGCTGGATTGTTAGAGCTAATAGTCCCTTTATTAAAGGAATAAGAGTGGAGATTTTGGAGATCATACAGTCCAGCTATTTTCATGTAAAGACATAGGCCCACAGAAGTGAAGTGATGTAGCCAAGGCCTGCACTTAACAGCAGGGTTGGGACCAAAACTCAAGTCCCTTTTAATACTTTCCTCTTTCCAGTTTGATTTTGCCCTCTGTCCCAGAGCTCAGATGATGTTTTATACTTAGCAGGGGCACTGGGGACTGGGCGCCAACCCATTTGTTGCTAAGACTGTGTTTACCGAGTTCTTTTTGGCGCTCTCTATTATGTACTCTTGGATTCAACCAAGCCAAAATCTTGACTTAATTGAAAACAGTGTGGAAACTGTATTGATTCCAAATGTAATCTCCAGGCCTTGTACCAGGAGGGAGGCACCTTAATCTTTCAGAGACCGTTTTGGTAAGCATTTAAAGCTCTTATGACCCTAGCTGTTTTCTTGACTTAACACCTTTGAGGTTCCCTGTGACATCAGATTGTTGAAGATTCATTCTTACCATAGGAGAGACAGCCCACTCCATTTTGCTCCAGACCTTTGTTTTGTCCTCAGCACTGAGGTGCTGTGACCTGATTGAGCTGTTTCCATCTTCGCCTTTTTTTTTTTTTTAAAGGAGATAAGGCTTTTGTTAAAACAAAAATCTTAAAGAGGGACTGTATGTATCATTGCTCTAGCTAAGTCTTTGGCTTCCCACCTCAGAATGATTTAAAATCCATATCCTTAGAAGGGCCCACAAATGCTCATCACCTCTCTGACCTCACTTCTAGGCTTCTCCTTATTCACTGTGCTTCACCCTCACCAGGCTCTCTGCTGGTCTTCAAACATTTCAAGCAAACTCCTGATACATTTTGAACTTGGCTGTTCATGTTGTATAGACACTCTTCCCCTGGATACTGAATGATTCCTCCCTTGCCTCCTTCGAATTGACACCTTCTCCATAAGGCCCTCCCTGACTGACCATCCCATTTAAAACTGCAGCCCCCACCCCAGCATTCCTATCCCAGTCCCCTTTGCTGTGTTTTTCTCCGTAACACTTGGCACCTTCTAGCATAGCACTCAAAGAGCTCTCCAGGTGCTTCTTAAGCTTTGGCATTGGGGACCTCTGCCATAGATGTTGCTTGACTAGGTGTTAACGCTTGAGACATCTAGCAGAAGCAGGATTTTAAGCATCAAGAATGAATTTTAAATTCTTGTGTCCTCAAGCCAAAGTACTTTCCATATAATAGAATGAGTCTCTTGAATTAAACCATCTAGTGGCTAAACATTGGTGTTTCCCACTCATCAGGAAGTTTCTTGGCAGTCGTGATTAGCAGTATATTCCTATATGTAACTGATCTTGAAGATCACATGCCTTACAACCTGAAGATCTTTTGATTTTTTTTTTCTGTAATGAATTTACTTATACAGGAGTGAGATTTGAGATCAGATAAAATAGTTGATTTTCCTTAAAATGGTTCAGCATTAGATAGCCTATGTATAATTAGGTCTGTTGTAGAATGTTTGCTACTGTTTATAATTTTTTAACTTACACAATGTAGAAATTTTGAGAAGTCAGAGTAATATTAATGCGGGAGTCTCTCAAAGTTGACTACTGTTGACACTTGGTTGTTTCCTTCTAGCTTTTTTACATTGCTGTGATCCCAGTTCTGGTACGGGATTTGGGGAATGGGGTGGTGATGTGATTTGAAAAGAGTAATGGAGAAAATATTCCCACCATGTAGAATTAACCACTGATAACAGTTGTATATGTTTGCTATCTATGTGCACACTTAAAAAGAGCAAATAATATACAAGCACATTACCTCTTTTTAAAAGGAATATAGTGTTAGAGATTCTTCTTTAATCACTATTCCCATTCTGTTCCCCATTCCCACCATGACCTTGACCCTGCACCCTCACTGAAATAATTACTTGGCCAAGTTTGGTATATGTTGGTCCAGTACAGTTTTCTGTACTTTGGTGCCCCAGAGATAGGTAGTGTTGCTTTTAGTTTATCTAAATGGTATCATACTGTAAATATCATTCTGCAGCTTTTTTTTTTTCTCCCCTCAGCTATGGGTCTATCCAGATTGATACTTACCTAGTTCATTACTTTGGCTGTATAGGACTCCCAGTATATGGATGTACTATAGTTTCTCCAGCCCCTTTTGATAGGATTGCATTTGGTTCTTGACTTTTATAAATAATGCTGGAACAAATATCCTCATGGTTCTTCCTGATACATTTATTAGTGTTCTTCTAAGGTCATATAGAATTGTTATCCTCTTAACATTTATATTGGCTTAGTTAAATCTCTTCAATAAACACTATACTTCCTAAATCTAGACTTGGAAGCGTCTTACTTCCTTAATGAAAAATTAATATGAAATAGTAATTGGACACAAGGCATTTCTTTTTGCATCAGAGTAATTTAAACATTGCATGGGCTCTCTTGATAGCAGTAGAGAAAACATGAAGCTATTTCAACACAAAAGATTAAAGAACAAAAATTAGAAGCATAGTTTGTATTGGAGTGACTAGAGCAAGCAAAGACTAGAATACCCGGGATTTTGTATTCTTATATCTGTTTCCTAAGTCTAGAGAAGTTTCTTAGATTGTCCGAGATGACCTTTGTCAAAACTCGTCCTTGAGGACCCTCCTCCAATGCCCCTTCTCTGCATTTTTCCTGATACCTTCCTCGTCCCCTTCTCATGCCCTCCATTATGTCAGTTCTTCGTGCTCACAGCACTTACTGCCTTATGTCTTGTCCTGCTGCTGCAGTGACCTCCTGGAGAATAACGTACTGCCTGACTTACCCTGTGCCCTGAGCAAGCACAGTGCCTGGCAAACAGGTGTTGACCAAGTATATTTTGAGTGAAGGAAAGAGAAACATGAGGTGGGGGCCGTGAGGTGGGGGCAGAGAGGTAAGAGAGGGTGGGATTGGGGGGGACATAGTGAGGGTCAGTTTAGTAGGGAACTTAAATTTACTGAAAATATGAAACAGAATAAGGAAGTCTTGAAATGAGATAAGGATGATAAAATGACATCTCTGACAGTGGACCTCTGCTTTAGCATATTGTCATTTGCATGTATACGAACTGATTAAATCCCTGATTCTAATTGAAGAAAAAATTAGTTTCTCTTTGGAATTTAGATGTCAGTATGTTTGTTAAAGTCTAGGGATGCCTGGCTGGCTCAGTCAGTAGAGCATGCGACCCTTGATACCAGGGTTGTGAGTTCAAGCACCACGTTGGGTGTGGAGATTATACTTAAAAACAAAATCTTTAGGGGCGCCTGGGTGGCTCAGTCGTTAAGCGTCCGCCTTCGGCTCAGGTCATGATCCCAGGGTCCTGAGATCGATCGGGCTCCCTGCTCTGTGGGAAGCCTGCTTCTCCTCTCTCACTCCCCCTGCTTGTGTTCCCTCTCTCGCTGTGTCTCTGTCAAATAAATAAATAAAATCTTTAAAAATATATAAAATCTTTAAAATATATATATATTTGTTAAAGTCTCTTTTTATTTTTCTAGGAATAAATCAAAAAACTTGAATCCCTGACAGATACAGCCATCTGACAGATTTTTTTTTTTTTTTTAACTCCTTGCCTCATTTCTTGGTTGCCCCAATTTTAATCAAAACTAGGTTTCCTGGAATGAGTAGACTAAAGTTAAAGGAAATATTTTGGTCACTGTTCTTATGAAATCCTTTGTGGTTTGGAAGCGGTGCTCCTTTAGTGTTTCAACAGCTTCATTCATGTTCCGCACACAGTGTAGCAGTATGATACCAGTAACTGAGCTTCAGAAGGAGAAGTTCAAATGCAGAACCTCTAAATTTAGAGATTGAACAATAAAACCTTTGGGAGGGAAGTCAGAGTAGCTTTCTTAACTTTCTGATGAAAGTAATCGGCACTAGTTATAACCCATTTAGTACTACAAATTTTCTTGGCAAGTACCTTCATAGCTCAGAAAAGATTCTCTTGATTATTTTGTATATAAGAAGCTACATTGCTCTCAAAGTTTGCGTATTTTTTAAATAGAACTCTGATGTGTTTTAAGTAATTGACACTGTCAGGAGAATATATAGTCTTAACCAGTAACCAAACATCTAAGATTAAAAATAATGAGTTATGGGTATCATCAACTTTTTCCAATACTGAAATTGTTTCCAGTACTGAAATACTTAAACGAATTGTTCTCTGGACACTTTTTTGCTGCTAATTAACATTTCTTTTTACAGGATTCATGAATAAAATTTTCCATCCCAACATTGATGAAGCGTAAGTAACTATTTAAAAATGTTAAATCTTAGCAGCAACTGCTCTTATTAGCGTTCATCTCTCTCTCTCCATTATTAAAGCCTCAATTATCTTTTTGGATTTTATCAACAGAGAGGACTGTGTGGTCACTTAAACTATGGAGTTCCAGGGTTATTGATACTCTAAACCACTTAGCGCAAACCCTGCTGTTGGGTTGCTTAGTTTTTCCACTGTCGTGAGTGGGTCCTTCATTTCCTGCGATACCTAGCTAGCGTTTGGAATATTCCACATCTCCGTTCTCTTCATGTGGACACAATTCAGAGATCAGTTTTCTGTATACAGAATTACGATTTTCAGCCCTTAAAGTGTTTCTTAGTTCTTGAGAGTAAAGCAAACATGAATGGCTGTAGTTTTATTTCAGTTAATGAATCTACCCTTTCTTTCCTTCTAATATTTTATTAGTGATACTTTAAGATGTGCCTCCTATTACGTACTTTCGATGCTGTTTGCAATACATGATTTTTTTTCTGCGGTTTTTCCTCGTCACGGCACTAAATTCTGCTGTTACACACATACACATGAGGTATTCTGAACTCTGTGAGTGGGTTGTACACACATATCATGCCCCGTTGTCCTTTTATACTTCTTTGTATCGGTCATCCTAACAACAAGGATGTTTTGTTACGTAACCACAGTATAGTCGTCAGGTTCACTAACTGAATATCAATACAGTACTTTTTAATCTGCCACATTACAGCAGTGTACCTTTTTGGCACTTCCCCCCCCCCCCTCAGTGAAGGATCAGCCCAGGACCATGTATTGCATTTACTTGTCATGTTTCAAACTACTTTAATCTGGAATAGTTCCTCAGCTTTTTTAACGTTGACATTTTTAAAAGAATATGGATCAGTTATTTTAAAGACCGTCCCTCAGTTTCGGGTTGTCTGGTGTTTCCTCATTAGATCCAGAGGATGCACTTCAGGCCAGAAAACCACAAAGTATGATTGTGCCCTCGGGGTCCTGGGGAGACACACAGGTGTGTCTGCGTGTGCGCCCCCCCCCCCCCCGTGTGAATTCTCATGAAGGTGTTGTCTGGTCTCTTCATTGTATAGTTGTGGGTTTTTCCTTTCAGTCTCTAAGGAAACACTAACACTGTAAATGTTCTGCTCCTCATACTTTTCCTTTCCTAATTGGGCTTCTTTCTATTCTTTCTTTTTCCTTTCTCCTCTCTTTTCTTTCTTTCTTTCTCTTTCTTTCTCTTTCTTTCTTTCTTTCTTTCTTTTTCTCTTTCTTTCTCTTTCTTTCTTTCTTTCTTTCTTTCTTTCTTTCTTTCTTTCTTTCTTTCTTTCTTTCTTTCTTTCTTTCTTAATGATCTGTTAAAGGTACTTTTCTTGATAAATGAAATTAGTTGCCAGATACATGCGACTAGCTTTCTTAATTTTTTAAAAAATGCCATTCTTTCCATCTGTTTCAGGTCAGGAACTGTGTGTCTAGATGTAATTAATCAAACTTGGACAGCTCTCTATGGTGAGTTTGGCCATGGAATATTTTTTAGAGATGTTGAGACACTGCCTAAAAAATGTTGTTTGGCTTTTCTTCTCTGGTTTAAGATTTTTTGTTGGGAATGGGAAGGGATGATGAGGGCCTGGATGGGAAAGTTTGATCAGTGAAAAAAGTATTTTCTCTGAAGTACAAACTTTGATTTAGCAGTGGAAGTTTAAGATAATCTTGTGAGATTCTGAACTTAAGGTATAGTGATGTACAATACACACGTAAACATTGTATATGTGTATGTATTCAGAAGCACACTATATACCTGTTTACTTGTAATAACTTTGAATTTTGGAAAAACTCCTAGGAATGTCCCTGTTAAATGAGATGGTGTATTAAGAGGTTTGGGGAGTCTTCTGCTTTTGAAGCCCAAAGAATAATTTAGCCTTGCCTCAGTGCTGAAATCAATATCTCCTTTCTTATGATGAATCACAATACATCACGATACAATGCTAAGTATCACAGAGAAATGTAAGGAATATATCAGGCCTTCTCTCCCTGAGCTTGTAACTTGGTTGGGGAGCTAAAAATATTTTGAAATGTACTTAATTAGGGATACAACAAACCAATCTGTATTCCCCCGCATGTCCAAGTTCTCAGGCATCACAGACTTTGCTCTGATGCCCCCACCCCATGAGGCTTCCCCTGATGCTCCAGCTGCAAGCGATCTCCGCCCACTCCTACATTTTATTTCCCTTTTTTGTGGCCCACTTATACTTTGTACCTGTGTGTGTTGTTCATGCGTACCTTTTTGTGCCACTAGATGATTTCCTGCCTTAGGGGTCACTGGGGTGCATTTCTCTATGTCCCAGCACTTCCTTATACAGCACCTTGTACCCATGTGTGGTGAAAGAATGGGAGGTGCACATAATAAACGGCTGCCAAGAGGTCCAAGAAGATCACTTTAGGCAGGGCTTAACCAGAGGTGACCTTTCTTACTGAACAATTGTGAGAAATCTTATTCCAGCCATAATCTGCAAGCCACCTTGCCAGACATGCCTGTACTAGGTGCAGGAGACTCACGGTGGAATGCTGGTCACCGGCAGTGCATGGTTAATCCTTTTTTTGTTTTGTTTTTTTTCCTCCTGATTATCCCATTCAAAAATTATTTCCTCTGCCTGGAGTTATCTTCCTTGGTCTTTGTATGGCTGGGCACCTTCTTTTCTCACCTCAGACATCTCTCAAAGAAGCCTCCTTTCCTTAGATACTCCATGTAAAACAACATTCCTCCACAGCATAGCACCCTGTTTAAAAACCTGTCTTTAAAACCAGCATTTATTGTTTATCTTGTCTTACTAGATTGTAAGCTCCACCAGAGCAGGGACTGTGTGTGTGTGTGTGTGTGTGTGTGTGTGTGTGTGTGTGTGTGTGTGTGTGTGTGTGTGCGCGCGCGCGCGCGCGCGAACGTACGTACACAGGTATACAAGTGCCTACAACAGTGCGTGGTGTACAATAAGGGTTCAGATATTTGTTGAATTAATGATGCCTAGTATTGTTAAACATGAGAATTTTAGGGATATGACAGCTTATAAGGAGGTGAGGCAACAAGAAAGAACATATACTCTGAGGTTGGTTAAATGGATTCCTTTTAAGAAAAATGTCTCATGGCAGGCTGCCTGGAATAGCTGATGTAATGATGTATTTTCTTAAACTGCATTCACATTTTAGAAATGTACATAACAAAATACTGTGAGCTGGTTCCAGTTACAGTAAAGTAAATTGGACTTCAACTAATTCTTTTACTGTTGACCGGAAAAGCTTTGTGGAAGAGATTTTTGCTGATTCTCAAGTACTTCACATCTCAGAAACAGATTTTTAAAAATAACAGCTTATTGAATTATAATTCATATACATGAAATTCACCCATTTAAAGCATGTAATTTGATGGTTTTTAAAAGCAGACTGAGTTGTGTACAACCATTACCACATTTTCATCATAGAAGGTTTTCTTCACCTAAAAAAAAAAAAATCCCTTAGCTATCACCCCCTCATCCCCAACCCTAGGCAATGACTGATCTACTTTTTGTCTCTATAGATTTGCCTATTCTGGAATTTTTAATGATGGAATATATAATATGTGGTCTATTGTGACTTGGTTTTTTCAGTTCCTGTCATGTTTTCAAGATTCATCATGTTGTAGCATGAATCAGTACTTCATAACTTGTATGGCCAGATAATAGCGCATTTTACAGCTATCACATTTGTATCCATTTGTCAGTTGATGGACAGTTGGGTTGTTTCTACCTTTTGGCTGTTTTGAATAGTTTCTATGTGGACATACGTTTTCATTTCTCTTGGGTGTCTACATAGGGGTAGAATTGCTGGGTGACATGGTAACTTTCTGGCCCACCATTTGAGGAACTGACAGACTGTTTTCCAAAGTGGTTGTACCATTTTACTTTCCTACCAGTGGGTATATGAGGTTCAGAACAGACTTGAAAGCAGAGGCCCACATGACTTAAGATTTCTTAATTTTTAATTTTTAATTTTTTAAAAAAAGATTGCATTTATTTATTTGACTAGAGAATCACATAGCGAGAGAGGGAACAGAAGCAGGGGGAGTGGGAGAGGGAGAAGCAGGCTCCCCACTGAGCAGGGAGCCCGATGCGGGGCTCGATCCCAGGACCCTGGGATCATGACCTGAGCTGAAGGCAGATGCTTAACGACTGAGCCACCCAGGCACCCCGACTTAAGAGTTCTTAAGATTTCATCACATCTAGGGGCACCTGAGTGGCTCAGTCATTAAGCCTTTGGCTCAGGTCATGATCCTGGGGTCCTGGGATTGAGCCCCGCATCAGGGGCTCCCTGCTCAGCTGGAAGCCTGCTTCTCCCTCTCCCACTCCCCCTGCTTCTGTTCCCTCTCTCGTTGTCTCTCTCTCTCTGTCAAATAAAAAATCTAAAAGATTTCATCAAATCAGTAAAATGTTAGGAAAGCATTGCTTTGTAAAGCACTTAGTATAACAAGGATTAAATCACATTGGTTAAAGTGAACTTTTATTTCCCTATTACATGTGTAGGAGTTATCATTCAGTGTTCCATAATATGTAAACATGGACAACACTAACATTGTAGGTAAGTGCAGGAACCCAAGAAGGAGTATTTTGAGAGTGTAGTCAGAAATATACTCTTGGGCCACCTGGGTGGCTCAGTCAGTTAAGCGGCTGACTGTTGATCTCAGGGTCGTGAGTTCAAGCCCTATATCCACGCTGAGTGTGGAGCCTACTTAAAATACACTCAGCATGGGAGAACTGTTTTTGACATTTTGCTCAAACCCACACTCTACTACTGAAGAATATTCATTTTTTTCATGGAAAGTTTTAGAACAGGTAATTGATAGAAAAGTATACAAGTGGTTGGTACAGATGACCTTGAAGTTTCTTTTTTTCTTTTTTTTAATATTTTTATTTATTTGAGAGAGAGAGAACAGAGGGAGAGTAGGAGGGAGAAGCAGACTCCCGTGGAGCAGGGAGCCCGATGTGGGACTCGATCCCAGGACCCTGCCATCATGACCTGAGCCCAGAGGCAGCCTCTGAACAGACTGAGCACCCAGGTGCCCCTGACATTGGAGTTTCTTTTGGACTTCCCTGATCCTGAGATCAAAACTGAATTTTTATTGCAAACTGCTAAAGCCTCTGGCATTGAAGGTTAATCTATAATTGGTGAATTTATTGGAGTCATTCAGTTACCTGCTGTGATTCTTGAGAGAATCTTAGTTCAGAGGACAAAAAACCTAATTTAATATAAAACAAGTAATAGGAGAAAGTTGACGTGTTAACACAAATACTCAACTGAAAACCAAAAGGCTTATTAGCCTGACAACCAAAACTTGTTTCAACACCTCTACTATATAATATAGTAAGGAGCAGGGAGTTACTTGTGAAATTTCCTGCAATTAACTTTGCCCCAAGGCATGTACTGTGCAATGGATATACATAGTTTTAGTATAGCAGCAATTCCCAGTTGAAACTTCAGATTTATACTTACCATAACCTGCTATTGATCAGTGTTCCTGTTTGTAGCAGCTTTAGTCCTCTAGTCCCCCTGACTCATTGCTTCTGTTCTCATTTTGTTTTCCTTTGCCAAATGTCCATGTAGTTTGTTCATTTAGAAACTTAGAATTGGTATGATTGTAGTGTAGTCACCCAGTAATTTTCAGTTTTATATTATTTAACCTTGCAAGAGAGCTAATTATAGTCGGTAATATGGTTAGTTTTGTAAAGATGCTTGTTGTCATATGAAATTATTGAGTTTGAAGTTGTTACTCTTGTGACATTAAAAGGAAAGTAGCAGATGCCATCTCAAAATTGATTTATTTTCATTTCCTGTATGATAGCATCTTTTTCTTCCTTTTCTCTTTTCTTTCTCTTTTTTAGCATCCCTTCCTGCTCTTCCCAGACAGCAATGATAAAAGCTCTGGAAAACTTAAAATGCAGCCAAGGGGATTAGTTTCAGAAACAACTGTAATTTTAAAGATTGATGGAAGGAAAGTTCATTAATCCACAGGTAGCTTTTTAAGCGCCCTTACTGTTTTCCAGTTTCCCTTTTTACTTCCACATATATTTTACCCACACTTGGCCTCTCTCCCTACCCTCTCGGAAGCTCTGGTACTTCCACTGCAATACAGCTTTCGTTTCTCTCCCACCCTTCTGGGCCATGCATCCTTGACCTTGACCCTGTAAATTGTGTTTTTTTCCAATTTAATTTTACTCATTTTTCAACTGACTTGGTAGATCACTTACTTTGTGAATTAAGTTGTGGACAAGTAAGGTTGAAAACAATTTTCTTATAAAATTGGGCAGTTTACAATTTTATTCTTTCTTACCGTTAGGGTTGCTAGCCAATGGACTGGATACTCCTCTTATTTTGCTGGTGAGAAAAATCAACATTTGGGAAATTGCTGCCCCTAGAATGAAGTTGACTACAACAAAAGGAGAATGCTTCAGGGACTAGGCATTTAGAAAAAATTTAAACCATAA